GTGGGATTTGAACCCTAGACCTGCTACTTGGAGAGAGTGACGACTTGACCACTTCACTAAGCCGCCACACCTCTTATTACTATTATTATATTATTATATTAAATTATATATATATTATATTATTTATTATAATTATTAAATACTTATCGACTTTAACTATAATTTTAATTAAATCCAGATGATAGTATTAACATCAACGCACATTACTATTAATAAAGTAATCAACTCTAACAATTGTCTGCTAAACGCTTCTTTAGTTGGTGTCACTCAAAATACTTCTGAAGAATTAAAGAACAACGAAGATATAATAGTTAAAACTTCAGTTAATGACTATACAACTCAAGAACATAACTTCATAGTCAATGTAATCTATCCATGCCATAATTCTAGATTCAAACGATTTAAAAACTCAATTTGCCCCAAAGAATCAATACTTTTTATCGTCAGCCAACTAGAAGTTATTAAAAACGAACTCTATATATATGCAAAAGACATCTCATATATTGACATCCAAACATTAACTAAAAAACGAATTTTAAACCCTACCGATCCTCAAGTTTCACTATCATCATCCAATATAACACGAAATAAACTTTTGTCAGCATAGCAAAGTATCTGCGAAGAACCTGAAAAAAATCTTGAAGACTTAACCTCAAAAAACAAGACAAATTCAGATACAACAGACTCCCAACTCTCAGATTTATTACAAAAAAATTCTCAAAAAGCAAACCGTGTAAAAACTGAAAATGAATCACAAAAAGATCAAGAAAAAGCTGAAGCTTCTATTAAAGAAGCAACAAATGAATCGAAAACAAATAATAACAAATGCAGCAAAAATAAAAACTACATTAAACCAAAAGAACACAGCCACGATAAGAAAAACAATAATAAGGAACAAAACACGTGTAATATTAGACAAACACGTAGTTCTAAAATCATAAATAACATAAGCGATAATGAAAATAACGAAAAGTAATCACATTTAGTTACACATTCAATACTAGCTAATTTAGCTTTACTAAATATATATATAATTATTTCTAAATAACTCTAACCTTATTATTTTAAC